TGGGGCTTTGAGCAACCTGGTCTAGTGGAAGGTGTTCCTGCCCATGGCAGGGGGGTTGGGCCAGGTGATCTTTAAGGTCCGTTCCAACCCAAACCATTCTATGATTCTGTGATTAGGGGTTGCGTTAATGTACCAAGAATTTCATAAATGTTCCACCTGGGATTTTGGAGAAACTCGTTATATAACAAGTAAGAAGGAGCATCAATATAGAAAATAAATGAGATTGTCATGATTTATGAGACTGTGCTTATAGTCAGCAGGTCTGGATCCTTAAAGTTACTCTTTTTTTCCTAAGATATTATCCCTGAACTCCTTTTTCACTTATCATTAGTGATATGTGTTAGAAATTATGTTATCTTGTTACATTGAGGGGTAATGAGAATAATTATGCAACACAAAATGAGAATTTTTCTGAACAATGGGAAAGTAAACAGCTACATTAAAATTACACTACTGCCTAGCTTTAGTTTTAGTGTTTGGCCTGAGTGTACCTTCCCAGAATTATCAGTCGTTGTTTTCAAATGTTCTAATGACATTTAATTCCAGAGTTTTGAAACCACTAATTTAGGTTTCACAAATTGAAGTGCCATGGTACAATATAATTTTACTGGTTGGTGGTTGATATTCTCACTCTTAAGCTTTTTACCCTTTGGAAACTGTTGAAATGCATTTTTAAGGGAGAATTGATTATAACTTTGGTAAACGAATATGATTACCAAGACTGTCTGTAATTGGAATTTTACTTAAGAGGAACTGTATTTATGTTATCTTTCCTTATTGGATGCAATGCTATGTCTATAATATTTCTTTCTGAATACACTCATTTTGTTGGGGCCATCTGTAGTGCTCTTAAGTCAGGCGTGTGCCTACGGAGAGCACTCGCGTTCCCCCAGTTTGATGCTGACGTGCTTCTTTGGTGGTGATGTAACATCATCTACGGATGCATTCAGTGCCTCTGCAATTTGACAGCATACAAACATTTGATTTCACCATGTAAAAGTTTATAGAAGAAGTGTCTGCTATTTACTTTTAATTCAAGATAAATGTAGTTAAAGAATATAGCTTCCATATGCTTCCGCATGCCATATGCTAAGATGATGGCATACAGACATACTCTTGTGGGTGTTAAGTATAAAACAAGAAGACGGAGGCAGTTGTGCTGAATATCCCGATAGCAGTCCTCGTTCAGTATCCCGACAGGACCCCGTACCAGCAGAAAGGGAAATGTCCTCCCCAAGCTGTACATTTAACACTTGGCTTATGCCTTGAAGCAAAGCGGTTGCATCTGCAGCTATTTTCATTGCTCGTAGTAATCGCTAACTTTTTGTTGGCACCTTAACAGGTGCATCCACACTGTTACACAATTCCAGCCCTGCCCTGAAAAAAAAAAATTTTCTTTTAGCATTTTAAACCTGGTTACCTTTCAGGTTAATTAATGATCTTGTTTTTATCCTTATCAGAGAAGGTGTTCTTTTCTTTTTGTGCCAGCCATTGTTTTATATCAACAGAACTGCATTAAATTGTCATCCTGCAGCTTGGCCCCAAATGTTTAATTCCAGTTTGGTGGTGTTGGCTGGTGGTAATAAGAAGGAATAGTGGCAGTTCAAAAGGAAATCTTGCATTTCCTCTCTTTGTGGGAATCAATATTATAATTCGAAACCCTTTATCTGGTAGTGTCCTGTTATTACCTGTTTCTATTCATGTTTGTGTCCATTTTAAATGCTGCAGAGACCCTAGAAATCACACATTCTGTCTAGGGGGGATTTATTGTTACTATGTCATTTTTTTCTCAGTGCATAGGGCTGCAAATGGACTGCATTTGCTCTCCTGTGGTATCCCACTTAAAAAAAAAAGAAAGAGATGTTGACATAGCAAAAATGGCTTTGTGGTATGAGTTTATTTAAAACCATTGTGACAGAACTGAGCATTACGTGGAAATATTTCTTATGCAGCATAAACCACACATGAGCCAAACCAATCAGTAGCTTGAGACCACCAAGGATAAATAATTTTACTAACTTTCCTGAAGCCTCACTGAAAACAAAGTTGTCTCATTCTGTTTCCAGAAATGCCTGTATTTGAAAATATTTTTCTCTTAAAAGTTAAAGCTAGCTTAACTGGGAAATAAGTTTGCATCAGGCAGAAATGAGGTGACCAGCTCCTGAACGAACCACTGGAGTGGATCCGTCAGCTCTGCTGCTTCCTGTCTGGCCCTTCTCAATCCATTAAAATGCCCTAATGGGCTTTTGTTTTATTATTTAATCTATTTTAGCAGTTCATGCTGCTCACCTCAAGCATAGTTGTAAGCATGTAGCAGAAATCCTGCCATTTCTTATGACTGACATGCTGTAAAGATCAGGCCCATTAAGCTCAGGCTTTTGAAGGTAATTCATCTCAAACTGAAGAATTCATGCATTGGCATCGTCTTTGAAGATACTTGCAGACTCCTGAGTGGAAATGATTTGCCTCCTAACAAGACTGAGATGCAGCATACTGCTTAGGCCGACCCGAGGAGATGTGGGTTTTTGGTGTGTAAGGGTACCGGATGTTCATGGCTGGCATCTTATTCTGCATGTAAAAGAAGCGCCTGCACGCCCAGCAAAGGGACACAGCTGCCAGTTGGGTCACCAAAGAAGTGCTCACCTGGGCCCACCAGCTTATTAATAACACCATTGATGTTGATAAGTCCAGGACAGTGGGAAGCAAGCGGAATGTTTGCTCTTTAGGTAGTATTTTAGGCATCAAAAAAAGGTTTTTGGACTCCATTCTCTTTGGCCACTGCCTTCTCTCCTTGCTGACTCTAAGGCTTTGTTGCTCCATCAGGAATGACCAGCTTGAGTTACCAGGATCTGCACTTACAAAAATTCCAAAGTAGAGAAGAGAAGCAATTCTGTATTTTCAACCACCTGCTTGTCCCTAATCACGTTACAGGACGTGAGAAGATGGGTTTGCATACACTTGGCCATGCTTCATGTGGACACCTTTGTGTTGCCGAACCCTCGGTGTCCTTGGTGAAGGTAATGAGGCTACGCAGACCTTGGGCATCAGAGTCTATTACTTGTTTAACCTTCCTGAAGAGGGCAATTACCCCGCTTTCCCATACAGAGTGGTGACCTCTGTCCTCGCGCTCTCGTAATTGAGAAGGGGAATGTCTCCGAGTTTGTGGCTGCCAGAGCTGAGAGAGAAGAAGGGTCACAAGGATTGAAAGTGAAAGGCAAGGATCAGCAATTTAGAAGTAGTTATTAATATGCTGATTTACTGTCACTTGAGTCTAAAGAGATTTTTAACAATTGCTTGCCTTTTGCATGCTTTTCAAAATGCAGATTTTTCCCTTAGAAATCTAATTATATTTTAAGAAGATACTTTTTTATTTCCAGATGGTTGCCAACTCATCCCTTGATCCCATACAATACTGTAGTTAAAAACCAAAATTCATGTGAATTTATTGCAAAGTTACACCCCAGAAAATCCTTTAACTGTAAGAAAACAGTTATTTTTCCCTGTTTTTTTTCAGGCACTCCTAGTAACATTAAGTGTTGGTGACAAGGAAAAGTATATGCAGCCTCAAAAACCTGAATTATTTAGAAAGCTCCCTAAAATAATACCACAGGTTGTTGAAGTTAAATAATAAAATCTGGATTAAATCGTTTCATCTTCTGTGGCTTTGTGATACAGTGTGTGGACTTGCCTAAAATCAGAGTGCCTGACATGACTGAACTCTTGGGGCCAAATTCAATTGCTAACTCTGTCCCTGACTTCATTACTTTAATCAAGTCACGACCTATCTTTGCCTTGGTTAACCTACAATGTAGGATAGAAATAGCCTATAATCTTGGAGATTTTGTGAGAATTAATTATTATTATGAAAGGAAAGTCTTCATGATGTGCAGGGTATTTTTATTTATTTTAATTACTTATTATTAGTTCACTGAAACTTTATCAAGTTTTATTATAGGCTATCACTATTAATACTTTTGTCCTCTATCATGGCTATGCAGTGCCATTATCCACCCTGAAAAATTAGTCATTACAGACCAAAAAAGAAGAGGGGTGTTGAAGGAAAAGGGAATTGGCTCAGTACGTGTGCAGGGGCTCTGCCTCTGCCCATGTGTGAAGGCACTTCAGGTCAGATGGAGCTTGGCAGAGTGACACTGTCCTCAGCTGAGACCCACAGAGCAGTTGCTTTTTGGTTTTTTTTTCTGTTGATGGATCCATTCAGTATTGCTCTCACAGGGAGCTATCGCGCACCGCAGAAGCAGGCTCCTAGTAAAGGGCGGCGGCTGCAGCCCCTTTCTATCATGGCTGCAGGCTGAATGCTTGTGCCCTTCCTCCTAAACATCTGCATTTATGCAAGACATTCAAAGGTTCAGATGGCCAGAGCGGGGGGAGAGCACAAGGGGTAGCACAGTGTTTAGGGAACTCAGTTTGGAGGGAGCAGACCTGGTGCTTACACCTTGCTGCAAGAAGCATTTAGCTGTAGCATCCGCTGCTCAGATAGAGTAGAGGTCACCGCTTGGTATGGGAAGGCTGCTCAGACAGTTGTTCCCTTCATCTGAAATATGGAAAAGATGGCAGTTTTGGAGAAGGAAGCTCTCTTTTATATTTTTAATATTTTTTTTCTACTTTGAAGCAATTTCAGTCCCATACATAGTGTGTGCATCACAGCTTGGGAATCCTGGCCTCAACCAAGTATGTTTTATGGCACATAGCCGCAGTATTATATCTTTTCTTGTTTGGTCGTACAATGTATCATTGGTTAAACTGTTACCTCAACCCTTAAAATGACTGCCTCCTTGAGAATATTGAATTTATATAATCATTTAGATAACACACTGCTTGAATGAGAATGTTGTGTTGCATGAATAATGACCTAAAAATAAATCGGCTTTATCCTATTAAAACCAGGAGAGTGAATCCCACATAGAACACAAGTACTGACTGCGTAGCGTATAATACAATATATATAAGAATATAAAGATTTCTGTACCTTTACTTTTCAGCTGTTACATGCCTGTCAGAGCACAACGACTCTGCCAGTGTTGGTGACTGCATGCAGTGGGCAGGAGCTATGCCATCTCTCGTACAGGAGTGTCTCATTCCCTGCAAAGATGACTGCGCGTTTACCCCCTGGTCTAAATTTACAGCATGCTCGTTTGACTGTGAATCAACTCGAAGTAGGAGACGGTCACTCACAGGTATAATCTTTTATAATATTTGTCTGATGGTGATACTTGTGAATAATGCCTCTTAGATGTTGGTGGACTGATGTTGGGATTTTGGGAAAATCCAGACAGAATAGTGATCATCCCTAACTGAATTTTGATCTGATATTGATCATTGCCTACTTTATGTGCACACATTTAGGTATGAGAATAGTGCAGAAAAACTGGGTGGTGGAAAGCCATTATTAGACATAAACCAAATAAAACAGTGCCTATGCGTCGTGCAAGTTTATCTGATGTATTAATCTGGAAAACATGCAGCAAATGCATATACAAGAATAAAAATCAGTATGTTTTTCTGTTTAAGACTGTTGAAATCTGGATGAAGTTTAAATCTGGAAGTTTTGTGCTCAGCAATATCCAATAGTTCAACAGAGCAAATAAATACCATAAATAAAGAAAAACCAGTATAATTAAAACAGTTTTGTTTGATCTTTTATATGTATTGATTAAACACTCTGGTTCAAACCATTTCATGGAAAAGTCTCCCATACTTGCTGTTGTGGTTTGTTATTATCTTATGAATGCTGACCAAACTGAAAAGCTTTAAAACTCTATAACATTAATAGTTTGGAACTGCTTGTTTTGTTAAGAGTTGTCTTCCACCCCCCACCCTTGCTCCATAGCTAAATCAAATAAAAAGGGATTTTTATCCTACACTGTTTTCAGAAGGTTTACAAGAAATTTACTGTTACTGTTATCCTGAACACTCCCATCTTTTCATATTTCTGTGTTGTGTTTGAGAGCTATAGTGTAGCTGGCTTGAGTTTGCTGTAAAAAGTTTGCTGTGATAATGCCTGAGAATTGAATGGCAGCAAAGTATGGTGGCTACCACTGCTCCTTTCTTCTAGACTCACTTGTACCTGGCTGCATGGCTCTCTTGTTATTCAGTTTGTTACTGTGGGAATGATCCAAGTTTTTAGTAACTAACAATTACAGTACACAGACATAATGGCTTCAAGTTGCTATTCGTCAGTATGGCTCATTAAAGGATAAAGATTTCTCTTTTACATAAAAATCATTATTATGCAATGCTCTACTGTTTCTGCCAAAGAGCATATTCTAAAATGTTCTCTATATCAATGTCTGTATGTTCATAGTAGTAGAAATCCTTTATCCCTATTAGAATAATAGGTGCCTGCTCTTACAGAAAATATGTAGGAATTAAGTCAATACTTACTTCCAGGTAGTTTTAAAACTGAATTTTCTTTATGAACATCTGTGCAAGTCACAAAACAGTATGGCCCTACTTACCCCCTTTCTTACTCCATTCTACATCAGACATAGATCCATTCAAGTAAGTGGACCCAAAATAGTTTCTGATATTCAGGTTTTGATGGCTTGTCTGCTCACCCACACTGCATTTGTGACCAGGCGCCACCAGTCTCTCCCATACGACCTTGCTGGGCTCCCTTCCTCCCTCCAGGAAGGAGCTCGTGGTCTCAACCTGCTCCCAGCAAAGGTGTCCTGAAAAGCACATGTTGAACATGCAGCATGTGTCCCCGGTGGTGCTGGGGTGGGGACAGCACAGCACAACACCACAGAGAGCAGCAAAGGAGGACCAATTCAGACATTGGCTTTGGTTTGACCGCGTTTCAAAAGGGGACGTCGGTGAGATTAGTGCTGACGTGTCTTTGCATAAAACTTCATGAAAATTGGAGCTGGCCAAAAGTCTTGAAAAAAATCTCACCCATAGGAACTCAGTCCAAAGATTTAAGGAAAGTGCTATTTTGACAAGTATTTCCTGATGTTAAGAGTCCTTTATCCATTTGTATTTCACCTTTCTATAAGCGTGTATGAATTGTACTTCCTTCTTCATCACTGCATGTGTCTATGCTCAAGTGAATTCTTTGCCTTCATTATAAGAGTTCATTAACAATGTCATTTAGTGGGAGTCTGCTAATTGTTTGCTAACTATTTGCTTGCCTCCCACTCAGTTTTTAATGGTATTATTCATTTTACTTTGTAAGTAATCATAGACTCTACATATAAAATTAGTCATTACTTAAGAAGCAAAAGACTTATTACAGAACATATCAGAATTCAAAGTCATTATAATGAAAACACAGTTTTTAGGTAAGTCTTCAGTTAATTAATACAGTCAGTTAATTGACTGTACTATAGGTACAACACATTTTCTGTAGGAAGGTATATTTTTAATTTTTCATATAATTTTTATGTATAGTATGTACTACCTGATAATGTTTAATGTATATAATACTTGTTAATATTCAGAAATCTAATTTAAAAATAAAATACGTTTAATTGAGGGATTTATATACTTGAAAATATTGGAGATGGTATTTTCAATAGTAATTTCTAAACCAATCTGTAAAGATGAAAAAAAAATCTCCATCACTAATTCTAACACTACTTCTTTGAGAAGACTATGGGATGAATGTCACTTCAGCCCTCAAAATAGATCTTTCATAGCAACTTCATTAGAGGAAAGATTCCTACAAAACAGATGGCAGGGCAAGTTGGAAAAAAGCGTCATATAAGTGTGAGATTATTAGCATCCTTACCTGTGTCTGATGTCCTTCATGTAATAATGGCAAAATATGAGCAAGTCCCAAATTCCCATGTTTACTAGTACAATGTGGAACATACAGCTGTACGTATAAACTGAGTTTATGCCTTCTGTCAGCTCTTCAAACACAAAATGCGTGAAACACCACCAGAGAGTTCCAGATATATTTAAAAGCTTTTAAAAGACTTTCCTTGAAGTATGTGGAGTTGTACCTCTTATACCTTACCTGAATTTGCTCATAAATATATGTATAAATATATATATACACAAAAACATAAAGATGCAAGCACTATTGGATTTATTTGTTTTTATTATCCCTTTGTGCTGGCAAACTTTACATTCCCCAGAACTCTGTAAATAAAATTTTGAAAGAGCTGTGGCTTGAAGGACAACGATATCAAGGGTCTGCAATCAATGTCCTTTTCTTTGGAGGTCCGTGTTTGTATGGAAACAGGTATTGACGAAAGCCAGCTTGTGCTCCTACTGACATGTGGTGAAATGACACTTGGTTCCAGACTAGAAAGAGGGTGATTGGGTTGTATAACTTGTTTTTTGGTTTTAGTATCTTATTTGTGTGCAAGAACAAAGAGAAGAGATTTTTTGGGGGATCAAAGCTTTAAAAACTTTTTGCAGAAGTATTTTTAGCGCATCCTAGATCTCCAAGGAACATTTTGAGAATGGGATACAGTTGTGGTTTGTTGGTGAAGATGAATTCTCCCCTTCTGTGCAGATGCCAAATGCAAAGACATTCCTGAGCTCAGCCAGCATAAAGATTGCTCCACATCACGTGGGCTAACCCATGCCAAGAAAAGCATTGATTTTATCTCTAGAGGCTGTATACAGACCTTTGTTCCCTCGAGCAGTTGTAGGGATGCAGGGAGCATGAATTAACTTCTTTGCAATATTTCTCCTTGTACCGGGGACCTCTTCTCATGCGTACAAGTCCTCCAGGAACAGAGCATGGAGAGTGCAGTTGCAGCAAGCTGTCCCACAGGTTTATTTGAATGCTGCTGCTTCCTGACGCCACTGAAAGAGCCTTCTTTTAAAACCTATTGAAGAAATAGAGCAAAAGAAAACATTAAACCAAATATAACTGTTGAAATACTTTGCAGCCCTAATAATTCACTGAGGATTATCTTTTCTGTTTTCTTCAAAGTACGGTTTGTGTGCCGTGTGCATCTTTAACTAATTTGTAAAGTAGTCTCAAAGAAGAGGTTGTGGCTAATGTAGAGTCCTCTGGAAGTTGTCCTGGCAACCATTGATTGCGAGCAAATAGAGACAAAACAATCAATTTATTTTCATCAGATAATTAGAGAAAAACGATATTATATAGAATTACAAAGCATTTTCTGGGCAGACCATTACTAGAGTAAGACTTTGCATTTTGCTCCTTGCCCTACTCATCAAAACAGTATTTCCAAGTTCTCTGGTTGCCCCTGGAGATAAATACATTGTTCTTGCACTCCAGAGCACTGGAAGCAGCTAATAGATGCTTCGGAAACGTTCCTGGATATTAACATTCAGATTGTTTTGGTTCTAATGTGTTGAATTCATGCAAGTATAAATAATATGACGTGTTGTTATCAAAAGTAGCAGATGTTAAGCTAACGAACAGATTTCTGTGGTTGGAACAGGGCGAAGCAGAAAGCGAGACAAATGCCAGAATACAGAAGTTTATCCTCAAGTTGAAACAGAGCTGTGCCCCTGTGAGGTGTTTACCTCCCAGCCCCACGGAAATTGGTCCGACTGCATTATCAGAGGAGGTACATCCGAGCTGCAGTGGGGAACGCGATCCCACGGAGATGCCAAGGAGTGTGGCGAGGGGGTGCAACTGCGAGCTATTGCCTGTTACGATAAGACTGGCAGACTTGTGGAACCATCTCGCTGTAGCAGTTCGGGTAAGGAGATTTAAAAAAATACACAACATGTGTAAAGAGCCCTGATGCTGAGCACACTTATCCACTCAACGGTTTGTTTTGGAGCCTGTCATACGTGCGTACCTGTTTACTTGCTGGAATAGCTTTCACAAGCTGTTGCTGTGAGTGTTGAACACTGTTCTTCGGATAGCTTCTTACCGTTCTAAACACTGAGGTTTTCCTCAGTATAAGGGTTTGCTGGTATTTCTACCATGGAAATGAAGTAGAAGAGGGCTAAAGTTGGCTGTGATGTCAGAATACTGGGTGGATTTCTTTTATTTGTCTGAAAATCCTGTAAAAGTACCAACTCAGGAGAAGGTATATTTCAATTTGCCTTTTATTTGAAGATATCTCCTACTTCAGTTTTTACTTGTTTAGAAATTTTTATTCCTTTTCACTAAATTTGGAGGTTCATACGGTTGTTTTCAATTAAGGAATTTTCTTGAGATAATCATGTTTAATTACAAAACCCCTGTGATGTCACCTGCTGTCGCTTATGCCAGTACACAACTTTGGCAGCCGGTGGTCTCCTCCTTGCAATTTTGTGCCAGTCCCAAGCTCAAACTGACACACAGCATATATTCCAATGTCACTGCTTGCTGGGGCTCCGGGCTATGGTTCTATCCGTTATATTTCACATATCATCAAGTAGCCTCTATCAAACAGAAGTAGGGCAGAAGAGGAAGCAGGAAATGTCATTGCATCTGGATATTTTCTTCACTTTCCATGATTTGCAGTTCATAGCAATCATTATGCTAAATCAATTTACAGACAAAAGCCCTTATCTTGGGGGCAAGTTCCGTACCTGTGCTGCTCCCAAAACACTAATGCTCTCTGACTTCCAGTCAAAACACCTAGGACACCACGCAAGGTGATGTAATAGGTTGGAAGACTGTTGGTAAGCTATATGACGGGAGATGAAGAAATGATGTCTCAGGAGGAAATTAAGTAATACAGTGGGAACCATTAATGTTCCAGACTATATAAGGGAGCGGATAAAGAACTGGGGCTGCTCTGTGGAGGGTCTTCAGGTAGAGGAACAGCAGCCTGAGCCTGGCAAAAAACCCCACCCTAATGAAGTGATTCAGTCCTGGAGTGAATTCCTCTCGCAGCTGTTGATGGCTGTTCCAGCTGGCTGCACAGATTCATAGAGCAGCTTTCCGTGGTTTGTGTTTCAACAATGTGCTGTTGTACCAATTGATTATGCCTCTGTGGCCCATGAAAGAGGAATGCTCTACCTTTCCCCACAACATTACCTTTTCTTCTGAAAAAAAGGGAGCTGTTGGATTCTGAAAGGTGGATTTGCCTGTGCTGTGACTTGCTCTTTTGAAAAACTTGGGGTTTTTATCACTATTAAAAAGAGCAGATTGTCTATGCGTGGGGCTTTTCTGAATAACCTTGAAGTCTGTTTTCTGTCAGTGATATTTATGTGGCATTTTTAATGGTCTGGCTTCTCTTAGGGAGGTAGTAGGGAGTGGTAGCTCAAGGGGATTATTGTTGGCTTTCTTGTCTTCAGCTTTTTATCTGAGCAGAAATAATTGCAACATGATCCTGGCACAGGATCCACGTCAGAGGTGGTCAGTACTGTACAGCAGCTCCCTATCCTATGCCCTTGCTCCTATTTCCAGAATGCTCTGAAGACCCTTAGGTGTAGAAGAGGGACGTACAGGAGGGGTGAGAAGTTTCCACCTTCTGGATACCCTGTAAGAGTTCCCCTAAGAGCAAGTTATGCATCTCCAGCCAGACCCTGTTTAATATTCAGGACGTATAAGCTGGCGCTCCCAAAACAGAGAAACTCTTTTCATAAAGGCGGTCAGGATGATCTCCTTATAATAAGCAATCCACTGTCACTGTGGTCTGGGGAGGAGTGTAGTAAGATGTGGAACCTTGCAAAGCCAGAGCATCCTTTGGAGCTCCTCATCAGCCCATAGCAGTGATCCACCAAAGCCTTTTGTGAGCTGAATCCTGTGCCTGCACAGGTGGCTGAGGTTTGTTGTTCCTCCTAATTGCTGCTCAGTGTTGGACACCTGCTCCTGCAAGGCAAGCGAGGAAGCAGTGTTGCCTTGGGCTCCAGAGTACATTAATATTTCAATGACTTTGGGTATAGAGTGCCCAGAAGTGGGCAGGAAGCTCCACAGGCTCCATTTCCATCACTTGGGACCTGTCTTCCAACCAGAGCAGTTAAGTGACAATAAGCCCAATATTTATGGTCTCTAGAGCTGAGAGCTTTCAAAATGCACTTCTGAACACATTATTGAATTAGTGATAGAAACAAATCATTATCCAATTAATAATTAGCAGAATGTTATTCAACCATAATAGAGAAGAGCAAATTACAGAAGCATGCAGAATTGCTAAGCCCTGAGAAATTATTAATGACAGGTTTTTTTAAACAGCTCAGTTTATCTTGTTCACAATTAGTATCAGGTGACCTTTTAACATTTGCTAGCTGACCATATTTATGTCTCATTAAGCCATTGCTTTATATATTGAATGCTGATCACTGTGATATCTAGGCATTGTTCTTTCTTTATGAGCTGTGGGGGTAAGCGTGTTCCTCTTCTTTTTCTTTCAGGTCTTTTGAGTTCTCTGTTTCCTGCTCTTTTGCTTTTGCAGGACAGTGCTCTTGCTTTCCCTTGAACCAGGACAAAAGGGAGACATAAGACTTAGACCTCAGTTCTTTCCTGGGTCCTTTTAAAGAACTTCTACAAAGAGGAGAAAGACAGATATAGGAATGCAAACTTTGCCTTACAAGTAGATTTAATTTTGTTCCAGACTTGGTAATGCCATGAGTACACGGCATAAGACAACAAAAATGGTATAGAATAGTAGAGAATAGGTCAGTTTGTAGATTTTCTAGAGAGCAAACTTTGGACTCTTGCCGTCTCGCAGCAATGATTTTCACTTTCCGTGACTGAAACCTGGTCGTTGAACTTACCACTTCAGTGGGGTTTAGTTCTGTCATGTCAATTTGACTTATTATGTGAATGTATCATAGTCATCAGGTGAACGTACTGTGAGTTTGAGTCTAACAGAAATTAATCACTGCTCAGAGGGATTCAGGGTCTGAGACCCTGACCTTATACTGAGTTTTGAGAGCAATTCTGCATTTGAAACTTGGGGGAAAATAATACATATCAAAAAAAGCCATTAAAGTCTGTTCATCTGTGTGTGTCAGCAGTCTAGACTCAAACTCTCCTAAGCCTATTATCTGCAAATATATTAACCCTCTGAGCATACCTTCTCAACAGGAAATGGTTTTTCTCCCCATTGGTGTAGTTACCACATGCAGAGTATCCCAAGGTCCAAAACCAGTGAAGACAAAAGCATTCCAACTGTGCCTTAATGGAAATAGCACTGCTGGCTTGCCTGGTGTCTGCAGTTTCTTCTGTCAAGACCCGAGACCTGGGTTGGAGGGACCTCTGCCCTGGCCCAGCATAGCTGAGCACAACTTGTGTGAATACTTCGGGTCAACTGTAGTGGGTGCACAGGTCACACCTTGACTAATTTACCTAATGTCACTGCAGTTTAATCTCGGGTTAGCTCATGATCAGAAATATGACAAACTTTAAAGTACAAATCTCAGACTTCTCCAAATTTTATTCCTTTCTATACCAAACCTTTCTCTGATGTACAGAAAAAACACACCGTAGCTTTTTTTCCCATGACTGGCTTTATTTTAGTGGTGTCGTCATTTTCCTTGATTGCCTATTCAATAAGCTCAAAATACGAGTGACCTGCAGTTTCCAAATTGAGCTAGTTCTTTTCTCCTGGATTTGGTTCACTCCTCTTTTCCTTCCTTTATTTTGGAAATGCATTTATTAAATTATGGATAGAGCTAACTATCTCTAACTGCATTACAAAAATGTAATTGATAACTTGCCTCAACTTGTATTCCCATCAGAAGACTGGATTATATTGCATTCAGCTCACCACTACTCCAGAGGGTCTCCGTTCTCTGGCTGGTGTTTAGAGCATCTTCTTTGGACATGAAATTGTCCTCTTAATTGCAGTTCGTCCGTTTCTCAGTCTGTCATCTGAGTTCCTTGTGCTATTTTTGAATTTCCACCTCCTTTGTTTTGAATTATTTCATGTGGTTCCTTTGCCTCTCTTTTTTGTGTGCTGTGCCAACAGGGTTTTTTTTAATCTTAGAGGAACATAGGGTGCCTCATCTGTTCCAAATCAAAGGCTGGAGATTTCTTGTGCTCTTGCACAGAGGTTCTGCTTTTGATCCAATGGGCAATTTCTGGAAAGCAGGAGTTTATAAAGAGCACTTATACTATTCAAATTCTGCTGTGCTCGCAACAACAGGAACCTGGAAGAAAGACACAACAGACAAATAGATCCTGGCTTTAAATCACAGAGCGGTTAGCTTCAACCTACAGTCACCTTAAAAAGCTTTAATTATCTCTAAATTTATGAAGGGCATGGCAGGGGTGCTCATATTGCTCCTTATTCTCAACAGTGCAGTGTTTTGTTGTGGTTTAGTTGTGGGTGGGCAAATCAAAGAGGACTGGGGTTGCTCAGAGGGTTCCCCTGGCACAGGGGTGTCACTTGGTTCCTCCCAGTCAGGTCGACGTAACACTCCTACTGGGAACGCTGCTGGCAAGGTCACTCCTTGAAAAAGTCAGCTTCAATCCCAAATGGATGGGATTAGCAAATGGATGCACCAGGAAGAGTTAAAAGTTTTGGTGATGTGAAAACTCATTGTTTTTGTGGTTGCTGGAGGGATGTTCCCTGCTCCGAGGCACATCAGGGCAGCGTGTGCCAGCAGTGACAGTGCTGCTTCTGTCCTGATGGGACGTGTCCCCAGCGTTGGGAGATTTAGGACAATATGAAAGGTCATGGAGCAGGAATTTCAACTCCTCCT